TCGTATTAGTTCCACCGAACGAACGGTGATCAATTACATCTGCGCCCCAAATACCCCCAAATTGCCCCAAAGCCCCCAAAATGCCCGATTGTGCCCCAATGACTGCCTAGTCAAGTACTTAGCCGCAGACGGACTTATTTTATCATAAGTCCTGATCTCGGCAATAACATGTATATATCAATACATTTGCCCCAATGGCTGGCATTCCTCTTACTGCATTTCTCATCGTCAGGCTCTGTATCAAGGCTGGCCAAGACTGAGATCCAACATCATCGCCAACAATGTCTCGACCAACGAGTCCCACGTCTTCAGACATGTCAGCGCCACCGGTCGACTCTACCAAATCTACAATAGTGGACGAGGAAGCAGCTACACCGCCAGAAGAACAACAGCCTCCACCCTTTACAGTTTATACGACATGGGAGAAGCGGCTCATCGTGCTGGGAGCCGCTCTGGCTGCCTTCTTCTCGCCTTTCACCGCGCAAATCTACCTTCCCGCTCTGACTGTTCTCGCTCACGAGTTCAACGTCTCCGACTCGGACATGAACCTTACCCTGACGACTTACATGATATTTCAGGGAATCGTGCCTATGTTCATCGGTTCTCTGGCTGATCAGAGCGGCAGACGCCCTGCATATGTGATTTGCTTCGTCGTCTACATCGCGGCCAACATTGGCCTTGCGCTCTCGCAGAACTTTGCTTCTTTGCTCGTCATTCGCTGCATCCAGTCTGCAGGCTCTAGCAGCACCGTTGCTCTGGCCTCAGCTGTCGTGGCAGACAGCATCACATCGGCTGAGAGGGGACAGTACGTTGGTCTTACTGTTATACCCATTGTTCTAGCGCCCGCACTGGGGCCAGTCCTCGGTGGTGTTCTAGCACAGTATCTAGGATGGAGATCCATATTTTGGTTTCTTGCCATTCTGGCCGGCGTCTTCTTCATCGTTCTTCTTCTCTTCTTCCCAGAGACTTGCAGGAGGATTGTGGATGATGGCTCCGTGCGACCGCCAAAGCTCTACCGAACCGGTTTCCAGCTTATCAAGGACCATTACAGAGCCAAGAAGGGAGATGGAGCGCCGGTAACGAGACAAACAACAGGAGCATCAAACACTGTCAAACCAAGTCTCAAGTTCAAGATCAACCCGTTTGAGTCACTTCGTCTACTCTTCGAGAGAGAGCTTGGGCTACTTCTCGGCTTCAGCGCCATTGTCTTTGCTGGGTTTTACGCTATCGCCTCTTCCATGCCGACCCAGTTCCAGGAGATCTACGGTTTCGACAGTCTTAAGGTCGGCCTCATGTACCTGCCCATGGCTGGCGGCTCAGTCGTGGCTGCCTTTCTTGTAGGACCTCTAATCAACTGGAACTACCGCCGGCATTGCAAGCGCCTTGGGATTCCCTACGATAAGTCTCGTCAGCAAGACATGACTGGGTTCCCCATTGAGAAAGCCCGCCTCGAAGTCGGTCTTCCGCTGCTGTATCTCAGCTCGATTCTGCTGCTCATCTGGGGTTGGGCTCTACACCTTCGAGCGCCCGTGGCTGTGCCATGCGTGCTGCTCTTTCTCTTCGGAGTCGGCATGATTGGATTCAATAACACGACCAATACGCTCATCATCGACATCCACCCAGGTAAAGCCGGGACTGCGACGGCGGCGAACAACTTTACGAGGTGTCTACTCGGCGCTGCCGCCACCGCAGCGATAATTCCCATGATTAACGGGATGGGCGTGGGGTGGGCCTTTACTTTCCTGGCTCTTCTCTATATCGTCTTCAGCCCTGCATTACTGGCCATAATGTACTGGGGCGTGAAGTGGCGTCAGGACGCAAAGGAGAAGGTGCTCAAGAAGGAGAGCAAGAAGAGCACAGCATGAGATTGTGATACCATATGAGTATGAGCGCGGCCTTCAGTGATACCCTTTTAGATAGTTGCTCGAAAACACCTCTAGCAATATATGTAATGAACTGTAGTAATAAGAAACTGATTCAACATCGCAACGCCACATAGCTATTGTGTCAAAAACGTTGTCGGTGTGGTTTCCTCGTGGCGGTTGAACCCCGCATATTAGGCTAACTCGACTTGCACCACGCCCTTCGGCGTCATGTCAAGTTGATTCTTATCGCTCAGCTGAAAAAGGAAGTGAGACCGGTAGCTCAAGTCAAGCCCCGCACCTCATTGCTTCATCATGTTTCAACGCAATTCATCGAATATCCCCTCAATCTAAATGTGGCTTTGAACAATTCACATTGCAATGAGTGAAGACCATCTCCAACCCACCGGGTCTGCCCCGACAACAAAGACTCTCACGGCCCGTTGCTACTGCAAAGCCGTCCACTTTACCCTCACTTTACCCACCTCCTCCCTCCCCCTCAAAGTCCACCTCTGTCACTGCAGCATCTGCCGCTACACCCACGGAACCCTCTGCATCTTCCACGCGCCCCTGCCATCCGGCGTATCACCCTCTTTCATCGCCCCGTCCTTGTTGTCATCCTCTCTCACGGCTTATCGCCACGCGACGGCCTCGAGCACACGGTACTTTTGCAGTACGTGCAGCTGCCACATCGGAGATGTGGGCGTCGATGACGACGACTTGGTTATCTCGGCGTCCATCTTTGACGCGAATCAGGACGATGTACCCGCCGTCTGGGATGTACGGTCTCATGTCAACACGGCTTCCGCGCCGGGCGGGGGATTATATGAATGGCTCCCAGCGGTGAACGGCAAAGAGATGAACATCTGGAACCCTAAGAAAGAAGATTCTGAAGCTACAACGTCGACAACAACACATGGGCGAGAAGTCGGCGTAGACGGCGAAGAGGTCCTCCGCGCGCAATGCCACTGCGGCGGCGTCTCCTTTACAATCTCCCGCCCCAAGGCCTCCATGCTCGAGGATAAAGCCTACGAAGCCTGGCTCTCGCCCGTCGACTCGCGAAAGTGGCCGGCCTGCGTAGACGCCTGCGACGACTGCCGTCTCCAAACGGGCGTCCACGCTATAGCATGGGTCTGTATCCCCGAGAGCTGCATCACCCCCTCCGTGCCCGAGGGTCTCCAGCTCGGTGGGACGGCCAAGACGTTCAAGTCGTCTGAGAACGTGCGGCGGTCGTTCTGCGGGACGTGTGGCGCGAGTGTGATGGCGTATTTTGGGGTAGATGGTAGGAAGCAGGCGAATGGAGAGAGGTTGGTCAATGTCGCTGCTGGAATTTTGAGGGCGCCTGAGGGGTGTTTGGCGGAGGAGTGGGTTACGTGGAGGACGGGAAGGGTTGCTTGGGCGGACAGCGGGATGAGATATGATGCTGGGGTGACGCAGGGTTTGGGGGAGGGTATGGCGAGATGGGGGAGGGAGAGGCATGGCGAGGCTTGGGGGTTTAATATTGGATGATGTCTGATATACCCTATCGACTCATGGTTCTGGTATGTTGTCCTCGTTCCTCTCGTTTGCAGCCTGTGAGAAAAACACCCTACAAAAATCTATGCAAGATGTCCATAGGTCTCGCTGACCCTCTCTTTCTCCCGCTCCAGATATTCGTCAAAGGTCCCCAAGGCAACTCCCCAGCTTCTTGTCCCCTCAATATCAGCAAACTGATCCATGTCACGCATAGCCAGCTGTCCAGCCAAGAACGGATTCCCTCCTTTCTGCGCCTCAACCTCCTCATCAGAGAGATAGACAGCCTTGATGTCCTTCCCCGTAAACCTCGCAAGTTTCCCCATGATATCATCTGCGGTGAGGAGCTCCGACGCAAGTGAGATCTCCTGAGTGTTGAACTTGACAGGATCCCGGTACGCCGCCAACGCGAACTGTCCGATATCGTTCGGGTCCACCGTCGGCAACTTCGTCTCGGGCGTCAGAGCTGTAATGAAGCGCCCTTTCTTGGCAAGATCCGGGTACACGGCAACGATCGGAAGGATGTAATTCGCCGCAAAGTTGCCGGGACGCAGGATGGTCCAGTGATCGAAGCCCGCTTTCCGGACCTCGTTCTCAACGGCCTGCTTCGAGAGAAGGACCATAGCAGTGAAGCTTTCGGGATCCCAGTACTTGAGCTTCTGAGGAGCGTCTACCGAGAAGCTGCTGCTATAGATGAAGTGCGTGGCGCCTGCCGCCTTGGCAGCGGCCATGATGCGCTTCGCCGTCTTGAGTTCCCAGGTGTGGTCAACGAAGTCGGGCATCAGGTTCAAAAAGGCCCCTGTGACGCCTTTCATCGCCTCCTCGAGGGCACCTTGGTCGTCATAGCCTCCTGGGGTGAGAGAGGCGCCGAGGGAGGAGAGGGCTTTGGCGGCGGGAGAGTCTGGGTTGCGGGCGAGGGCGTGGACTGCGATGCCGGCTGCGAGGAGGTTTCGCGCGACTGAACCGCCGACTGTGCCTGTTGCGCCGCTGACGAAGATTGTGTGCTGAGACATTGCAGCATGTGTGTGATGTCGAAGCTGGGTTGATAAGTTCAAGTGAAACGTGAGGGAAGAAACGCGGTGAGAGTCGATTGGAAGAAGATATTGTGATGAGACTGCTTGATCTGTAGCAGGTTAGAACAGTTCTCTCGGCGCTTTATATACTCACAAAAGGATAGCGGTCATGCCGGATGATGAGAATCCATGATTGATGCCATCAATTCGTTGAAGGTCTCATCGCGGGAATCCTTCAACGATGCGCGACCGACGACGGGACGCCGCCAGCTTCGCTTGATGGTATTAATCGCACATTATACATGGCTGATTGGTCGGAACGATAAGTACTTTGGTGTTTCTTGCAAATAAAGACGCAGACAAAGGAGATGAAGGATGAAGGATGAAGTGGGAAATGTTGGCGGAATCCCGCCAGATTAAGTAAGCTCAAACTGAGCAGACAGCGTCTGAGTGAGATTCCAGCGCTCACCTTCACTACTTTGACACTCATTCAATTTAGTTGGGAAGCTTCCTCGAGGAGTGTGAAGCCATCAATTGTTCTCAATTTGACAGTCGTATTATCAAGTGTTCCTTCACTCATCAACGGGAAAAATCGACGCGGGCATCGGCCAACATGTCAAACTCATTCTTTGAGCGGGCCAACCCGCCGCCACGGCGGAAAACATGTACAGCCTGCACCAAAGCCAAGCGCAGATGCGACCACGGCCAACCGGCATGCTTGCGGTGCTCGAGGCGGAATATCGCCTGCGACTACTCCGCTCCGCCAATCCCGATCAGATCAAAGGCGAGCAATCGCGATCTCGTTGTGCGAGCCCCGAAGCCTCGGCGACAGCATCATCAAAGCAGTGCAGCTCCAAGTCCCGTTCCCCTCCTCGACGACAACGCTGGCTCCAGCGCTTCCCTCATCCCTTGGTCCCAGAATCCGGATCTTTTACCTTTAGACATGAGAGACTTGGAAGATGCCAATTTTGATCTGGCCTTTGACGAACTCATAACCAGTGACGCCTTCCTCGAAGGGGCCTTGATCGCTCCTTCCCTCACGCCCAAGCCAGACGATATGCTTGTCCCATCTTACGACTCTGCCCCAGGCTCACTTGAGAGTGTGATAGCCAACCGTCTTCAGTATGCCCTTGATGAAATCAAAAAGGTTCCGACCACGGTGGTGATGGAGAATCAAGCTCCGTGGAGCCATCCCTGTTTGTATCGAGCCCACATGCCCCGAGACATGCAAGGTAAGTACCTCATGTCGCCCTCGCCCAAGTCCACTACCCATGGGAAGAATCTGACTGTACATTCACCAGATGCTCAAGCCTGCTGCGCTCTTTACATAGCAAAGAACAAAATCAACTCATCCTTCGTCCTACGTACCATCCAAGCCAGAGCTCACGAGCTGCTCGCCTCCCCAATGCCCAAGAACCGCCTCGACATTCTAGCTCGCTTCCACGCCATCCTCCTCTACCAAATAATCCGCCTGTTCGACGGCGACATCTCCATGCGGGCCTCCGCTCAGCACACCTTATCCTCTCTAGAACACACCATACTCGCCCTACTGCCGTTTGTGAAGTGGGAACCGGAACAGCCTGCCACTGGCCCGGCCCAAGACTACACCGCATGCCCGACCAAGGACTTTTGGCAAGAATGGATCTTCCAAGAGTCAGCTCGACGTACCATATTCTTCACCTGTTTCTTCCTTGTTGCCTATAGTGCTCTGGTCGGCACGCTTACCAATGGATGTGAGGAACGATACGTGTTTTGTCAGTCGTGGACCATGTCCGCTCATCTTTGGAAGGCGCCTACCGTAGTTGACTTTGCTGTTGCTTGGAAGGAGAAGCAGCACCTTGTGATTACAAAGCAGGGCTTTGAGGAAGCCTTGAGGGATGCTGCTGCTGATGATATTGACGCGTTTGGAAAGATACTCTTGGTCAGCGCGTTGGGCATTGAAGATGCGAGGCTGTGGTTTTACAACAGGGGCAGCTCTTTGTGACGGCGTTCCGGAGCATTGATAGATGGCAAACACGGCTCCTATGAATCCCACAAATTCTGCAGATATCGCAAGTTTCACTGTTCATGAACATCACGAAATGGAAGCCAAGACTGGTTGATCGCAAATTTGATGTGTCTGATACGACTGTCTGTGGTGAAGTCCCCTAGCTCTCCTCCGATATTACCTCCACCACCCATAGACTCTGAATCTTTGAAGACCCTTGTAAACGCCCAAAATGCAGCTAGAAACGATCCTTCAATGGAAAAGTAATCCTGTTGATCTTGCCGATACCATCCACGGTAGCCTACCCCAGGCCCAGAAAGTGAAATGATGATTGGCGACGATCCTTCAATGGAAACGATTGCCTGATGATCATGCCTGATCATGCTGCTAGAATCAATATGGCCCCCTCGGCCCCGAAAAGAAAAAGAAAAAGAAAAGAAAACCCGATGCCCATACAGCTTCCTTCCACCTAGAGTAAGGTTCTCTTGACCAGTAGACTGTGTCGCCCTGCTCGTAGGAATGAAGCAGTTCAGTCGAAAGAGTTGTCGGAACTAGTAGCCTTCGTCGATCTTTGCATAATCTCTCCGCTCCTTTCTGCTGGGTATGTTTCTGAGAGTATCAAGAGAAGGCTGGCCATCTCCGCGTCTCAGGGTGAACTTATGGTAGATGCCGCCTTTGTCGTTTGTGGCCTTACTGTAACCGACAACAACATAGAGGCCATCGTAGCGCAGTCCGACTTTAGGCGCGTAAGCGGAGCCGTTATTGCCCTTCTTCGCCTTGCGAAAGACACGGACAGGAGACTGGCGTTCCTTGGAAACCAAGAGAGCTGCATTGCCCCGAACGGGCGGTCCGACGGGAGTGTTGCTCGATGTGTTATCAAGTGAATTGCTTCCGCAGTAGACAATATCGTCACCACGGTCGACGTCGATATCACTGTACTTCTCTGCCATGATGATGGAAAGGGCAGGGCCCGGTTCGCCATTTGGCCCTCTCATGTACGAGATGCCCGCGTTGGACTCGCCATGTCCGCCGTACCACATCGCAGACAACTGATTCGGAAACCACTGTCCAATTTCCAAGCCATTGTGTCCGAGAACTTTGGCTGACCGTTTGTATTCATCGTAGGCAGGATTGAATGCTTGCGTTTTGCTTCCTGGTCGCAGGCCGAGTCCATGCATGATGCCCAAGACACCCCAGATGGGATGGTCGCGGGGAACAGGCTTGACACCATCCGCCGATCTGTTTGTCGAAGAGTTGGGCCTGGTTGATCTGGCGGCGGTCGACGAAGTCGGAGCTGGGGTAGGCGCGAGGGTGGGCAAAGCCGGTCGAGGGGGCTCTAGAGGCCGGTCGGACAGGGCGTTGAGCCATTGGACGAGGTCTCGGGCGCTGTTTTTCTCTGGCCCCAGAAAGAAGCGATGTCTCTTCTCCTGGAGACCCTCTGACGGCGTCTTCATGATGATCTCGAGCTTCCTCTTGATGGCGAATCTTGCCATCAAGATCTCCCGCGGCACCTGGGAGGGGAAGCGCGACCAAACCTCACTCAGCCATCGTATAAAAAGGGCCACAACCCTCCGAGCATCGGCCACCTCACCAGTAGCAATGGTGCTCACTGACCTCGCGGCCAGTGAGAGAAGGCTAGCGACCTTCCCCTCGAAGGTCCTGATAAAGGCGGCTACGTCTCCGTAGCCGGAAGGTGTAGGAGGCAGGCCTGAGCCTACCCCCCCACCTCCACCTCCGAGGCCACCATTGCCACCAGCACCTAAAGAAAGGCTCATGTTTCTATTCCCTGTTTCCCACAGTAAGTATCATGGACGAATACGAGCGAGCGAGAGCGAACGCATGACCAGTTGCAGTGATGATGAAGAATGGAGAAAACAATAGAACCAACAAAGGCAAAGAACATAGAAGGGGAGGTGACGAGTTGTAGTGATAATGAAGAATGGAGAAAACAATAGAACTAACAAAGGTAAAGAATATAGAAGGGGAGGTAACGAGTTATAGTGATAATAAAGAATGGAAAAAACAATAGAAATAACAAAGGCAAAGAACATAAAAGGGGAGGTGACGAGTTATAGTAATAATAAAGAATAGAGAAAACAATAGAAATAATAAAGGTAAAGAACATAAAAGGGGAGGTAACGAGAGATAACAAGGGGAATAAGGGAACTAGTAAAAATAACAAAGGCAAAGATCATAGAAACAGAGGTAACAAAAGATAATAAGAGAAAAAAGGGGACTACTGAACAAAATAATGGTAAAAGTCATGGAAGTAGAGAAAGCGAAAGATAATAAGGAAAAGAAGGGAAATAATGAAAACGACCAAGGTAAAGATCATAAAGCGACAAATAACGAAGGACAGGGAAAACAATAAAAACGACAAAGGCAAATGGTATGAAGGGACAAGTAACGAAGGATAAGGAAAAGAATGAAAACGACCAAGGCAAAGATCGTAAAGGAAGAGGTGACGAAGGGGAACATCATAAAAAAATAGAAGAAAACAGAAAACAGGAAGACGAACTTACGGAAGGGGGGTTGTCTTTGGTGTTTGGGGCTGAATGCTTTCCTTGTCGAAGAAAGCAAGCTGTCGTTGGTGAGAAGAGAAAGCTGTCGTAGTTGGATGGAGCTTGTGATGTGGTTGGCAGAGAGAAGAAAGAAAAAAGAAGTTGAAGAAAGGGAAGAAGAAGAGAAGTTGGTATAGGGTGGAGATTGCTGAGAAAGGGCCGGATTTGAGGCCAGGTATCGAGGCATCTATCTACCAAGTTGTGAGGAGGCGAGAGCTCTCGACTGGTGCAGCCGGAGGTGATGGTTGACACAAGCCGGGCCCGGGAGGTGTGAATGTTCGGCCCCGGTGCCGCAAAGTGGGGCCGAGTCCGACCGGTAGTTTCGAAACAAAACCCAACGATTTAGGCAGAAACGGGGCGGTCGTTTCTGCCGACCAAGGCAGATGGCAAGGCGGTTGGAGGGATAATCCGAGGGAATGGAATCAGGCAGATTCCAGTGGAGGGTGTGGCACGTCTGGTCTTCCAGGAGGCGTGAAGAGACCCGAGTGCTGGTGTTCACCGACTTGTCTGCTCAAGAGCGCGTGGTGGCTTGTTGGTGACGATCGAAGGCGGGCAGCTTACTAGGGGTATTTGGCGACTGGTTCACACACGTACGAGAGGTCTTGAATGGAGATGAACAATTACTTAGTGCTCTACCTCCTGATCAGGTACCTATGTAGGCCTGATGAGGCGAGAGATCGATTTCAAGCCCTCTGAAGGTGATCTTCAATCTGTTATTTGGTATGAAGGACCTCTATGTAGCTTAGACAACTCGGTCGGATAGCAATGTGTAAAGGCGTTATGTATATTGGAACGAGATCAATCTGTCGTCCAGATGCTTAGATACCGTGTGCGATTCGCACCTGGCTCTCTTTTGCTGCAGCAACGGTACAATCTAGCTGCTTATGTGGTCGGCGTGTGCCTTCCAGGCTTTTGTTCATGACATATGTTTATGAAGTGTCCTTATGGCATTTATTTATGAGAGTATGTCTAGGAGGGCATGATTGGGAGACGCTCTTATTTTACGGTCCTCTGCTGTTTATGTGACCGACAGGGCCGAACGCCTGGTCAATGATTCTCTGGTATTCTGATATTTGGGTGACAGAATAGCGAGTGTTTCTCAACTTAAGGGAATGAGTCGTGCATATCATGGGACGCCCAAGTCAATGCTTAGTCAACTCTTTCTTAAGTGATGATCAGTATATGTTAGCTGCTATGTGACTGGGTGTTGCGATGGGATGGAGGATTAGCTTAGGACGAGCTGTGCGGATGATGGCGCCTTTATACCTCACAGACGGACACACCGGAACTCCGTCGCTATGTGTCCTAACGAAGAGTACATGGTGTGTTTTGAAAGGAATAACAGGGGTCAGACCTTTCTGCAATGGAGAATTACATTAAAGTTTTTTCTAAAAGTTACAACTGTAATTCTCAAGTTTACTTTTCAAGTTTTACTTGACTGTTTGCGGACTGGCTACTGAGTTTTAGCAAGGATTCTGCAGATGTTCAGCCAATCGAAACACAGCGGACTATCATTCTCGGACAGCGCAATGCGACGTGCCCCTCAGTAGAGCTGGCGATGTGCTTTATCAGCTGTACTTTACTGGGATCGTGCCTTGATTACATTTTCAAAAAGTAATTCTATAATTTTGGTTAGTTGATTTATGAAGTTGACGGGGCTTCTTCAAGTGTTGCTTCGACTCTACTCGATCGTATGATGTTTTGCTCTACAGTTCCTATGTTGCTTGCCTCTAATTACCAGAGAAGAATATGCTGCGTTTTTGGCAAGCTGTATATCTTGACTGAACGAATGAGGCAGATGCTCTACAGCCCGAGAAGGTGCCTGCCCACTCGACGCAGTGACGTAGTCTTTAAGGTATTGAGAATCGCGGAAACTACTTTAAATCCCTGTTCAACTCGACCATAATATTCAAGTGGCATTCATAAGGGCTAAACTATCATCACGCGGTATAATGGTATGAAAGTTGATACGAAGACATCACCTGGCTGGCTAGCACCTTACTTACCATCGACTGCTGTGCCGCACCAATCCCGCCGAAGCCTGTCTACGAAGACGCCCGACCAGCAAGTGAAATACTGCGGCTTGGCTGCTCTAGCACAGCTGCACGATAGGGCAACAAGCTTGGCTAGAATCCTTCGTTCGATCAGGGCATCCGTCACCGCACATAGAGCGCCGGAGTTTCGTGCCAGTTGCCGGAAGCGAGCGTCAGCAGATTCTGGCCGTAGTATATGCAGCTTTTTCTTGGATGAAGTAGGCTAACTTGACCAGCCGTAGCCGCGGCATCGACATTTAGGTACATAACCAGGCGCGAAGTCAGCGTACTCAAAACATTCTGCGAGGTTTGCGACAATTCACTACTCTCAATACCAAAGGTTCTAGCTAACGATATCCGCTCACAGCGACTCTTCACAACCATGGCCAGCACCCAAGGATCTCAACCCGAAACCAAGAGCTACACCCCATCCGTCTTCAGCCAAGAAACCCTCGTCGCCTCCGACACCAACTCTCTCCACCCTCTCATCCGCAACGCCGAAGACCCCTCCGACCACCCCCTCCGCGGCACCGAACCCTAGCCTGCCCGCTCCGATGACTACCACTACGTCTCCACGCGCGTCGTAAAGGAAATACCCAAAGCCAAGGCGCCTGCTGACACGATGAGTGCGTTGAGCAAGTTTAAGATGATGTTGAAGCCTCCTGTCGTGAAGGCGGTTGAGGCTCTGCCGAGTCATGAGGGGAAGTCGTATCATGTCGACGAGGAGGGGCGCATTATTGAGATTACGGTGAGGAGAGCAGGTGAGTGGCGTGACATGCTGGTCAGCTTCTTCATGTCCGTGCTGACATGGGTGATTCTAGGTACATCGCGCAACGTCTTTGCTAATGGCGATGGTGGCGGTGGCGGAGGGTCTTGAAGGGACTTGCGAGAGCGGACGGGACATAATCTCACACTACACTAAGGGATCTGGACAATGACAAGGTTTGTACGATGAATATCTATTCTGTCTGGTATCTGAAACTTTTAAACCATTTGCTGAGCTAAATGCTTTTCTGTGCCTTCCACAAATCTAAGCAAGCCAGAACCAAACCTTCTGCAACAGGTTCTTCGGGATCGGCTCCTCGTCGAGCTCCGCCATGGCTTCCATCTCGGCAACGCCGGTCAAGACATCTACGTCGGCCACGTTGCGCGCTATCGGCGTACGGAACCAGATCTTGTGTCCAATGTACAGCACGAAAAAGATGGGCAGCGTAATGTAGGCAGCCAGGAAGTCCGAGACGCTCCAGTGGCCAGGGAAGAAGACCTGGAAGCCGTTGGTAAGGGTCAGGATGATGAGGAGACCGAGGATAAACCAGGTAAAATAAGGCTGGAGGGGCGTCTTGAAGGGCAGACGGTGCATCATGTTGTGGTAGATCATAGCCTTGCGGAAGCGGAGGTAGGTGATCATGACGACAATCCATGCGATAAAGCCGGAAATGGTGCTAATGTTCATGAACCAGGTGAAGACGGTAGAGGTTCCGCTGCTGACGGTGAGGTAGGAGAGCAGAGCAATTGACCAGGTGCCGAGGACGGCGGTGTAGGGGACACCACGCTTGGTCGTACGGGCGAAGAAGCGAGGGGCCTGCTTGTTGAGGGCCAAGCTGTAGAGGATACGGCTGCCGGAGTACAAGAAGGCGTTGCCTGCACTCCACGCACTGGTGAGAATGGCGGCGTTGATGACGTGGTTCAGACCACCGATGCCAGCACGCTGAATTCCGATAACCCAAGGAGAAGCAGCAGCGTTGGAAGCAGGGCTGAGGAGTCTCTCGTCGTTCGAAGGGGTGATGGCGCCAATCATGAGGGAGCCGAGGCCGTAGAAGATAGCCAGACGCCAGACGAAACGGCGAGCGGCCTTGGGGATGTTGCGACGGGGGGCAACGGTCTCGCCGGCCGCGAGTGCGATCAGCTCGGGGGAAGTGATGAAGGCGAAACCGGCACGGACGAAACCAGTCCAATAGGCCAAGAACTTGCCAGTGTTTCCGCCGACGAGGTATGGTGTAATTGCGCCAGGGTCGTACCAGTAAAGGAAGCCAATGCGACCTTCGTCGGGGGCACCGCCGAGGATGATGACGAAGCTCACCATGATAAGACCCAAGATGGTGATGAGCTTGATACTCGCAAACCAGAACTCGGCCTCACCAAAGATTTCGACAGCAAAAATGTTGAGAGCGAGGGTGACGAGCAGGATGATTGTGATCCAGACGGCCGAGGGTACGGGTGTTTTCCAATAGTCGAGGAGGATTGCGCCGGCCGAGGCCTCAGCGCCGACGAGCATGGCGTATGCGTACCAATAGTTCCAACCGGCGGCGAAAGCCAAACTGGGCTCGACGAAGCGTTCGACAAAGTAGGGGATCGAGATACCCTTGAGCGGGAGGTAGGTGGCCATCTCTCCGAGATTGTTCATGATGTTCCACACGACAATCATCATGGAGAGGTATCCCATGAACAGCGGCGCGGGGCCAACTGCTGAGAGGATACTGCCTGAGCCGACGAAGAGACCGGTTCCGATGCTGTAAGTAACTGTCAGTTTGCGATTACTTGAACCCAATTAAGGGCATGCAGAAACGGCGGAAAACATACGCGCCACCCAATGCTAGGAACTGAATGTGTCGGCTCTTCAAGCCACGCGACAGCTGGTCGTGCGAATTGACCAGATCATTGGGGTCGCTGAGTGCGGCGAAGTTGACGTCGCGAGGGTAGGATTCCCCATTGTGCTTGGACTCGACGTCGGTCAAGGGACCGCCGCCTCTGTAATCTTTGTCCGCAGACTCCATTGTCGAATCGTAGTTGTAATCAACTGACCTCGACTCTGGTTTGGGCGAAGAAAAGAAAAAGAAGAAGAACAGTCGAAGGGGAGAGAGTTTGCGATGTGGGCGGGCGGGTAGCAATGGTATATTAATTAGTACGGCAACTTTTTTTTTCTCTGGTCGCAGGCAAGGCTTGTCGGTGGGCGTCCCCGGCGCAACCACGGAATGATTCTAGAACGCGAAGAGTAGAACGACGCGAACAAAGGGCCAAGCTTCTGGCTGAGGGGGAATGGCTGCAGTATTATGGAGTCTGGGCGATGGGCAGCATGGCGAAAGATTCCCGTCTGTCGTGAGACGGGCAGCTTACACTACACTTGTACGTAGGCCCCATGCTTGACCAAGCAACGGAAGCTGCCTCCGTTGGTTTCTGCGAGCGTACGGATAGTCCAACCCATTGTTTCTGCCCGCCGCGCTCCCACGCTGATGAATCAACCCTTGTGGAATGCCGACGTGACGTATTGATGGTACGCTGTGCTCCTCTGCGGCGTGGGTACGGTGCTAGGTATTCGACAAACTGACTGACTCTGCGGCATCTGCGTGTATGCCCAGGCGCGCGAGCTGCAACTGAACCCTTGTTGGATGTTGTTTGGAGGCGAAAGGCGCAAAAGGGCTTCTCGGCACTGACTGGTGCAGAAGGCGGGCAGATCCAGTCATGGGGAAGAACTAAACCGAAAGCAGAAACCTGGCAGTCCATCAGCTGTTTCTGTGTGGTAACGTTTTCATGGCGAACCCATGGGGTAAACTCGGACGGAAGGCTTATCTACTTGGCAATCCACACGACATCCACACTCGGCCACACATTCGGGCACACCGTATTGATAAGAGGCTAACGTCCGAGGATGGCACATGTTGTTACTGGAAATGAATTGCTGACAGACTGAGAACGTGAGGAAAACGGGTGGTTAAAGTGGTTGCAGTTGTCACCGAGAAAATCTGCGGTCCAAATTGGAGGCTCAGGCAGAGACGGGAATTGGAGTCAGCAGTACGTACCTCCCGGAACAACTGCAAACATCCAAGCCGCAGCTTACCTAAGACTACCTTGCCGGTACTTAAGTACATACTTGGGCAAGAGGCCCAATATCACGTGGCTGCCTGTGCGCGGCTGCATCTCAGATTCCTTCACTTCCAGTGACTCCACGACGGGGTAAACACCGATGGTACCCGCCCTCGTACCAAACTATCACGTAAACTTTTCATCTTTTTCTCCAGAGTCCCTTGAAGTTGGGCAGCACAAGCACTCGCCAATTCCCATCAAATCGCGCAAATTCCTAGTTGCAGTGTGTCACCATCCTCGACCTGGCCTCTCGGTCCTGGGGAAGCCTGTCAGATGTCTGATTGGATGTTGGGAAACTTGCTCCGAACGACATTTCTAAACACCGATGTTGACCTTCACCAAATACCTGAACCGCAAAGTAGTAGTACGGAGACATCGCGTCTAAGTCTGTCGCGTTCCTGGAGCTCCCTTGTGCCGAACCGCGCCTTCGATAAGGATCGCCTGACCAGCACGCAATAATTGAGACGCCCACTTTTCATAAGCCCGAGTTTGAAGACAATGTCCCCGGAAGGCTGACTTCTGTGCCGCCCCGGTCGATACGAGACGAATCCTACTGCAAGAAACATGCTGTCGGCGTTCGCGAACATGATTCAACTTTGTCATTTCTTCAGAAGGGACCTACAAAGCTTATCAGCCTTGACCGGGGAGCTGGAAAGGGTAATTGAGACCGTCCATCTCCAAGTCTACCTGTCCCCGTTGTTTGGTACCCTTGATGCGGACCGGTGGAGGTTCAAAGTTGCCGTTTCCCCCGCATCCAGCTCGCCGGCCAAGAGAAACGGAAAACTGATCCGACGCCAGCTCCTTTGACTAGTGCTTAGTCGGCGACCCATCCCGATCCCGATCCCGACTTATAAGTTTTGCTAGCTACGCGGTGGCTCAACATCGTCGTTCTTGGCCGCTCAGAGATACGAAATATCTCTATGAGCATGTTTGACTCAAACGCTTTAGTCCCGGTGTCAAATCTGCATCACACACACGATAACGACGGGGCGAACCCCGTCCAGGCTTCCACATGTCCGTTACGCCTTGTGCGCGCCCTTTAATCACACGTCCCCCACGAGAAAGCACGCCACTTTGCAAGTCTGGGTCCGGAGCCCCGGATTCTGAAGGCAAGCTCGAGACTCATCTCGGCCAAACCATAATGGTGGCGGATCCCTTGGTGGTACGGAAAGTTGGGGAGATGAGGTCCAACCTGACAATTTTCATTTCCATTACGTTTTGGTTGCAAAAGCTATCGATCCTCTCTCTTTCTTTACCCACATTCGCCCGCCCTTTTCTTCAGACAACTATTACACCTCGACAACAGCATTTCCGTTGATCTGAACATCGAACACATTTTCATCTCGGTATACACAAGTTTCAAAGAGCAAGCAAGGCTACGGCACCAGCAGCCATTGCCTGAAGGATCGAGCCACCGTGGGTGTTCGCTGCGTTCACCGTGACCGGGGGCGACCGGGCCGTGGTACTATTCGCGGTGATCGTCGGCAGTGTAGCAGTCGTCGTCGGCGTGTTGGAAACAACCGGAGGTGCCGGAAGAGAAGTGGTCGGTTTAGGCACAAGAGAAGTCTCTGCTGAGGTGCTCCCGATTTCGGAAGTGAGGGTGAAAGTCGCGGTAGAGGTCGACGCGAAGAAGGACGTGGAAGTCTTCTCGTCCGGAATCGACTCCGTGAAGAAGAGGGTAGACGTCACCGTCGAGCCGGGTTCCGTGTTGACACCGCCCGGACCGACACATTGCTTGCCGATCGGACAGCACGCATACTGGCCGTTGTTACCGAGCCAGCACGTGGACGTCAAGGGGCAACCGCCCTGCTGGTCTGGGCAGCAAGTGTAGGTCAAGGGAATGCAGCCATCGCCGCAGTCTTTCCGGCCAGACTCGCTGCACGGGATCTCTACAATCTGGCGCTTGAGAGGAGAGAAGGCCTCTTCGGCGAGAGCCAAGGCTGGGAGAGCCAGAACAAGAAGTTTCTTGAGCTGGAACATGTTGCTTATGAAAGCGAGTGTATTGAAACGAGAGTGAAGGGTTGCTGGTGAACGTTGAGCTGCTTGATGTCCGAAATGGCCCAGCATCGCCCTTCTACTTTCTCTCGGAAATCTCATGCTTAAGTACACGGCACACAACGTAAGGCTGTGATATTGGGCCCTGTGCTACTCCTCCTCGGAGATGCAACATTTCAGCTGTCACACTGAACGGAAATGAGCAGCCAGCAATTACGTGGTGGCGTCCAATTGAAGGCATCACCGCAGTGTCATACAGCAAACTGCATCTTTCTGTTCCTGCAGCTAAACTAGCCCGCGATGTCAGCGTCCTTGCTCAAGTGGCCGTTGAGCAAGGTTAGAGGAGGTGATGGTGGCGTCGGGAACCAGGGTCTGGGATTAAGCAATTGCTTATTTTGAGAGCTCAGCTTTCTTGTGGCTGCAGGTAAGCTCGGGTAGGAGTTACCCCGCGCACGTCGATAAGCTCGATCTCTTGAAGTTGTCAGGCTGAGTGGCTAGGCTGATTCGAGGAACACGATCAAGAAGATCATCAAAACCCCAGACACCGGGTTTGTTCATAGGAGTCTGTCTGCCTGTCAATCCGCTGCTAGCACTGCAGCCAGGACTTAGCTCTTGTCGGTTATGCATTGTTGCAGCAGGCTGTGAGCATGGTATCGTGCTGCCGAATCAGATTTAAGCTTGTTTTTCAGCTGCCGGTAGCTAACGTTGTTTTAATTTGGCTATGGCGAGTGGCTTGCAACGTTGTCGTGTGAGCCTGAATTTCCCTCCAATTGGCAATTTCAAGTGATGCTTCCTGAATCCCTCTTCCCGCCCTACAGAAGTTAATTTACACATCAAGAACGATTAGACAAAGGATACCATATTGTACGTGGCCGCTACAATGGGGACCAGATTGCATCTCGATATCTATCGATCTTGCGATCACTGACCCAGCGTCGTGCGTTGAGATTTCACCTGATATCATACGTCTATAGAGCCATTTCGATCGTCTTTGGGCTTCGAATTCCGTCACTCGCTGCCTTTGCAACCACGATGAATGCAAACAATAACACTGTCATTTGCCCACATCACCCTACTCGTTAGCCCACACATGCGGGCGTCGTGGCACAAATCTCGGGCCATGTACACCCACTCCGCCTCAGCCACCTGCGCAAGCAGACTCAAGACAGCCAATGAAATACTGAGGACGATCAGACAACTACATGAGGCCGTCGTCAAATATGGTTACTTCATATGACTGTCTTAAAGTCCAGGGGTCTTTCATTTGTGGGTTGCCCCTGACGCCGATGTGCCTTAGCCTCGAGATGACGGGCGCTCGTGTTCGACTAGCTCTGCATTTTACTTTGCCTCACGCTGGATTCAAAGTTTCTGGATGGGCAATTCTATTGTGGGATTGCGAGGAGTGAATCCTCCTCTGGCTTCGTCTTCGTGTTGCGTACCGCAGATGTGGATCGCCAGTGAGTGATCACTGTCAACACACCTCTCATTCGTATCATCCGCCAGCAGAGGCTACAAATAAACAGCGTCAGCACTAGATTAAGGCTGAAAGTAACATACCTTAGAGATTCACCAAGGTGTATTAAAGACTGAAGTTGATGTGGCTTTCCAAGGCAGAATTGCACCGGGAATGAAGTTGATCTTGCGCATTACCTCGATACCCAACTAAACATATCATTGACGAATTTATGATGAGTGTAGTTTTTGTACATCATATCCTGGGAAAGTGTTGTGTCTTCAGGGCTCTACCAGTCTATCACATTTCCAAAATGGCTGGTTACAGCCAGTCTTCACCTGGCCTATTGATGTACGCTCAAGATCTTCCTCATGGTGTACTAGTAGAATTCAACAGTAGCAAGAAAAGCAGTCACATGCTGTCGAAAAGAAAATCTCATCAATCTCCGATCTTGATATCGAAGTAGCTTGGAAGATCTGGATCTCATTCCGAACTAGGAACGGCGGGCCTCGGATATGGGGTCCCGGTGAATCTAAACTCGGCGCCGGATCCGCAAGCCGAACGCTTCGGAAACTCGGCACGGTCCGCCCTAGCAATGCACTAATGACGTCCTTGCCGCTCTCCAAATCCCCATTCCTTTTCTTCTTCATTTTAAACCTCGCGCAAAAACATTTGCAGAGACCCCAAGCCAGGCCAAAACCTCCACCATTGCCAAGACTCGACCTGTTACGCCAATCAAATTTGCAATCCGCAAAGGCTCTAGGTTTTCATCATACCTTTGTGCCCCGTTCTATCACCATGTCCGGAGCCAGAGCCGTCGTCAAGACGCTGGATCACCTCGTTCTTACCTGCGCCAGCGTCCCAAAGACAGTCCAATGGTACACCAAGTACCTCGGGATGAAGGCAGAAACATTCACGTCGCCGTTAGATCCATCCGTCCAGAGGCACGCACTGAAGTTCGGCACACACAAGATCAATCTGCATCAGCAGGGCAAGGAGTTTGAGCCAAAAGCCAAGACGGCACTGCCAGGCACGGCCGACCTCTGTTTCTTGGTGGAGGATGGCACCAATCTTGAGGAACTGATCAAGGGCTTCCAAGGGGACGGAGTTCAGGTTCTTGAGGGAGAGAAGGTGGTTGCGAGAACGGGAGCACAGGGTCCCATCCAGAGCGTTTACGTGAGAGATCCCGACGGAAACTTGATTGAGTAAGTACTTCTCAGTGTTGGATATTGATGGTACCTCACGGACAAGGACTAACACTCACATCCGCAGGCTTTCTCACTACAAATCATAAGTGACCGTCTACATTATCTATCTGTACGAGCATTTGCATACTTAGACCATGAGATCTCCAATTATATACCAACACCGGAAATGTTGAAGTCTGAAGTGAGAGCGATGATTATTAGTTGCTAAGAATGGACTGTTCGTTCTTCGCCTTTTCTCGCTTCTCAAAGTGTCTGATTATGAAGATACTCGAAAGCTCCAAAACGCTCACTCCACACATGACGGAGAACCCCATGTGGAAGGACGGTGCATATTTACCCACATCGAGAATCACAACTGCAACAATCAGCGTCTTTTCAAGATATTGAGGGCAAGATAGTTGCAAACCTGGAACCCATGCAATGAAAGCTTGGCCTAGGGTCTGTGCAACCCCAATAACGATCGCACGCTCCTCCATGTTCTTGTGCATGATCTCAATTGCCCAGGCCTAAGGTAGACGACATCAGTATTAAAGAGGCAGGAAAGCCGCAGAAAGAGTGCCTCACGTAAAGGACCGGCCAAAAGCCCCACGAAGCGGCGTTGATAACATATCCGACAAAGGTCGTCGCGTAGCTTGATTCAACTGCAACCATGATCATGCCGATAAGGTTGATGGTCTGCGTCTTGTCAGCGAGATCGGGATGCTGATGTTTCATGTACTAACAGCTGGAATCAGTAAAACCTGCCACCTCTTCCCCAACCCATCGGAGAGCCAAGCATATAGCAGAGTGGTCACGAGACCGACGGCTTGCGCTGCGGTAGGAAAGAGGTTAATCTGATAGACCGTAAAGCGGTTCAAGGACTTCAGCCAAACAGAGAAGTAGTTAAGGGGTTGTGTGACAACGCAATGGCAACTGCGAGTTATGTCAGACTGTTCCATACTGGGTATCATGAGAGGTACGGAGAACTCACATCAATGCGAAGCTGAAGACGTAAATGGGCCAGTTCGTGAAAATACCCAAGACCCTGGCATTTGTCAAAGGCTCGGGTTTGCGCCGATCGATGGCTTCCATCCTCGCGATATGCTTTGCCTGCTCACCCGGACGCATCCAGCGAGCCCTTGTGATATGAGGGTTATCAGGGACGGCGAAAAATCCCCAGATGGGAGCCCAGATCGAGATTATGCCACAGAAAATGAAAAGCCACCGCCAACCTGGGAGGCCGCCGGCTCCATTGAGACCTCGATAGATTGCGGCTTGGAGGTATCCGCTGAACATGCTAGCAGCATAGCTGGCCGAATAAAAGATTGAAATCCGCTTGGAGAGTTCTAAGGGGCGAGGTAAGGACAAAGAAGTGAGTCTTCGCACAATGGATGCTCTTACCTCGAGGCGTGTACCAGCTTCCCATGATGGTCAGAACGCCGACGGCAAAGGGACTTTCAAGGAATCCTAGCAGGAATCTCATTGCTAAGACATGACGAACGTCCTTGACAGCGGCAAAACAAAATGTGACAATGGTCCAGAGAAACTCCGCCACGGGTAGGTAAATTGAGGGCCGAACTGGAAGATGTTAAGCTTTTGGGCTGTATATAAGAACTGATTGCATTCCAAGAACCTACAGCGAGTGAGCAAGAACTGTGAAGGAATTTGACCGACCAGATACCCGCAAGTAAAGAAAGTTTGTAACAGGTTGTACTCGTTGCCTTGAAAGTCGAGGTCTTCTTTCATACCGCTGACATACGCATTTGCTATTTTTGGTAAGAACTTCATACATTGTTTCAGTGTCCTAGTGCCAAGAGTTGCCCTTACTGATGTTGCTTGAGTCGAGTAGCCTGACGAAGTATCCAAAAGTAGCCCAGCTTCTGTCGTGAGCATGGTCAGCGCAGCTCTGAGCACATCTTCAAAACACGGGATTCTTTACAATACGAAGAAGTCGAGGCGTTGCACAAGGCGGTGTTCTTCTTTTGTTCGAGGACCATCCCATATGACACCGCTTAGGAGATCCCATCTTGATGACGAGGGCTCTTGAGGCCCAAGATCCTTGCCAGTATCTCTTGTTGATGCATTTTGGGAGTCCATGGCAGTCGCAGGTCGTTAGGTGGATGGTCGCGGATGTAATCAGAAGTAATTCGCAATACTACTTACTTTTGTACCGACATGGAGGGGGCATCAAAAACCCTTTGTGTCCCTGCTGGCCAGAGCGAGGCCGACAGAGCACATTATCGGCCTGTTACCGAGTCCTCAGAACTGATGCAACTTTAGAACGAATGACAACATAACATGGCAAGTGGGGGTTGATTGAATGGAGCCAAATCCTGGTTCTTGCGCACTCTTCAGGGATGATGTCTAGTAAGTCTCAGAGACCACCTCGTTCCCCTCTTTCATACGAATTATGGCCCTACTTGTACTTGTATTGACCTCCAATGTGGTCGTGGCGGAGATGTTTCTGGCCAACACCATACATCCTCTCACGCAGAGTGACTCCATCTCCCGATAGTCCGTCGTACCCGTATAGCCCTCTTCCGCGAAGCTCAGGCACTAGCAAATCTACCACATCTTCGAAACTCCCAGGGGTTGTGACATGTCCAACGCTGAACCCATCTAAATCTGCAATCTTCACCCACTCCTCAAAGAAATCTGCAACACGAGCTGCCGATCCAACTAGCACAGGCCCGTTCCCGCCGATGGCCATGACTTTTCCGATATTTCGAGGCGTCCAAACTGGAATGTCATCGCCACGGTATTTCAGACTGCTGACCATGGAGTGTACCCGCCCATCAATGGTAGCATCATCTGGTCTGATTTCTGCGTCTAAATCGTATTTGGCGAGGTCTATTCCAGCATTACCTGAAAAGAATGCAAGGCCAGCCTCGAAGTTCGCAAATTCCAAGGCTTTGCGGTATTTTGCAGTGGCTTCTTCGTCTGTTCTCGCAATGACTGGTGTAATGACGGCGAAAATCTTGACACTACCAGGGTCACGGCCAGCTTCCGCTGCTTGCTGACGAATGGCTGCTACGCGAGGCGCCAAGATGTGAGGTGAAAGCCCCGATATCATGATACCCTCTGCGTGTTTGGCAGCGAAAGCTATGCCAGCGCTGTGAAGGTTCAGCCGAAAGTAGGCGTGTGAATTGTATGGTTCGTACTTACGATGATGTCCCTGCTTGAAGCAGAAATGGAGTTCTTTGAGGTGAAGGATGCAGGATGTGAGGAGCATCCACATTGAACCTTGCCGTATGATGCTTGATCCAACGGATACGACTGGGATCGGCGTAGATGTTGTTCGTTGCATCTTTCTTGAGAGCATCGTCTGCCCACGAGCCTTCCCATATTCTGACCTCTTAGCCTAGGACCTTCGTGTACACTCATATGACCTTACTTGTAGAGCAACTCCAAGTATTCATCAGCAGCGGCATATCTATCATCATGTTCGACATATGAGACCCCGACCTGAAGAAAGTTATGCATGATCTTGAAGAGGACCTTTTTGCGGAGTCTGACTTACGGCCTTGGCAGCAGATTCCTTAAAAGAAGTGACGATGTTCCAGCCAAACCGCCCTTTGGTAAGATGGTCGAGTGTCGAGAACCTCTTTGCGACGACGAATGGTGCCTCGTAACTCGTACTGGTTGTTACAATGAACCCAAGTTTCTTCGTTACAGTTGCCATCGCCGTCACCGGCTACTCCTAATGTCAATGCATGGCCATCGGTACGAATGTTACATTTGTCACTTACGATAACGGGGTCGCCCATCGGGAACTGACAACTTGTCCGTATCGTTGGTTCAGCGCTTCCATTGTAGATATCGTGTTGACCATAAGTATCAGCCAGAATCAAAGCGTGAATGTCTCCCCGCTCAAGTGTCTGCGCGAGATTGGTCCAGTAACTGAGATCTCTAAATTTGTCGGCGACTTCATCTTCGCCCCTGCGCCACTGACCGAAGCAGAGATGGCTCGGAGTGAACATGTCAAATGCATTGAGTATAATTTGCCGCCTGGCAGAAGGTTCCATCTTGGCGGGGTAAGCTCGTGCTGCGCTGAGTCCAACTCGTTGGCGGAAATGAGCCGGTGCTGCGTCTGTTGTCAACTTGCCATCGGCGGAAGAGAGCAAAATTTCCATTGATAACTCATTGCGCACTTGGTCTTGAAGGATCACGCAATTCGTCCGAGCCGATTTCGGCAGTAAGTATGGATGTTCGAGTTTCGCAATATCTTATCAGAATTAAAACCCGGACAAGCCCGAGATTTAGTAAATTCGCAAGCTAGATAGCGTATGGCGTATCATGGAGAATTGATGCATCCTTGATTGTATGCTGGTCTGGAACCAATCGAGTCTTCCTTCCCCTCAAAACACATGCGAAGGAAATTTGTTTCCAAGTGTCTGCAGCACGCTGCATGCACAATCCTATTGCATCGGGAACAGGGGGTATTTGCAAGCAACCGTGATAGTTGCGTCATCCATGTGATACGCCGGGAATCGACGATAATGAAGATAGAATCTCAATCGCAATCCATACTTAGAGAAGTGTTAAGCATTGTCGTCTCGTTTTTGTCAGAGTGATCAATCATGGCGCCAGGCGCGATACTAGACCCGTCTATCGATGGCGCAAGTTCCCTTCCAGCAGCTGACAACAATATTCTTCGAACCATTAACCCTCATTTCTTAATAGAAGAGCATCCCATTGATGAACATCAAAGTGTCCGAGCTATCGTTGTGGGTGCCGGCATTTCTGGCATCACCGCTGCCATTCTACTTCCCGCGAAGGTTCCCAACCTAGATCTCATCATCTACGAGAGAAACGACGATCTTGTAAGTTGAAGGAGAATGGTATCACGAAGCACTAGTCACTGATACGCGAGGCAACGAAGGGAGGCGTCTGGCATACCAACATCTACCCTGGTGTTCGGTGCGATGTACCCGCTCACGCTTACCAGGCTACGTTTGCTCCATCGACGGATTGGACCGAGGCGTATGCCACCGGCTCTGAGATCCAATCTTACTGGCAAGATATTGCGGACAAGTACGACGTGCGCAAGTATATCCGCTTCAGGCATAGCGTCACATCTGCGGAATGGTCTGAGGAAAAGGCCAGATGGATCGTCGAAATTCAAACAGACGACGGTGTAGTCACTGACGAAGCCAACTTCTTGATTACTGCCACGGGCCACTTCAGCGACCCAAAGCTTCCTCAGTATCCAGGAATCGATAAGTTTGAGGGCCACCTACGACATACCTCGAATTGGGACCCTGAGTTCGACCCAAAAGGAAAGCGGATCGCAGTCATTGGAAATGGCGCTTCCGGACTACAAGTGCTCCCGCAACTACAAAAAGTCGCTGCAAGAGTTGATCATTATGCCCGCAACAAAACATGGGTTGCAGCACCAATCGGAGGAGAAGATCTGGCAGACTTTGTTGCAGAAAACATTGGGGACGCCCGGACAGACGCGGAGAAGTATCTTAAATTTCGGAAGGCTCTAGAGGCAAAGCTTTTCAGCCGCTTCGGCGGAATTTTCAAAGACGGACCTCAGAATGCAGCGGCCGAAGATTACATCAAAGAGCTTATGAGAGTACGACTGGGGGCGGATTCCAAGCTTGCTGATGAGATTATACCTGAATTCCCAGTAGGCTGTCGTCGGCTGACACCTGGACCTGGCTATCTCGAGGCGCTAAATGCGGAAAATGTCAACTACATCACCGACCGGATCTCAGAGTTCACTGAAACCGGCATTCGGACTGTGGATGGTGGGTTTCAATTTCTGCTGATCTATGGAGCATCTTTCACTGACTCGGTGATTAGACACTCTTCGCGAAGTTGACGCAGTCATATGCAGTACAGGTCACGACATTACATTCAGTACGCAGTTCCCTGTCGTTTACAAAGGACTTGATCTCCAGAGGGCTTGGAGACCTGGCGGCAAACCAGGATTCCCTGACACTTACTTGGGAATGCTTGCTCCCGAGGTTCCGAACTTCATCACTGTACTTGGACCAAACGCCACAGGACCAGCTGGAACGCTGTGTCATGCGGTAGAGAACCAGCTCACATACGTTGCCAAGATACTTCGCAAATTTGCGACCCAAGGCCTGCGGACCATAGCTCCGACAACAGCTGCAACTCGTGATTTCCGAGCCTACACTGAAGCCTTCTTCCCGCGGACTGTCATGAGCGAGCACTGCAGCTCTTGGTACAATGGTGGGATCAAGGGTGGGAGAATCCATGGCCTCTGGCCCGGCAGTGCTGCTCATGTTGACCTGGTTAGAAAGGATCCGAGGTGGGAGGACTTTGAGTACACCTATCAGAACCCCCAGGGAAACAGGTTTGGGTGGCTGGGGAATGGCTGGACCAAGAAGGATGTTGCGGCTGCTCACGGCGACGCTGGGGTGGAACTAGATCTTACTCCTTGGTTGGAGAAAGGCGCTTTAAGTGGTGATATTGACCTTAGAAGCTACCATGAGAAATGGTGGGTGAGCTAGGAGTTGTTTCATCGTTGCACTGCACCCAAAACTGGGCATCTAAATTTCATTACCATTACGGATACTACTTATGTCTAGCTGCAAGAGCTCAAAGCTCCTGTCTTCTGAAACGCAACTTCGACTGACTGCTCGCCACCCAACTTGATATCAAAACTGGTGTTCCATCCATCAGCATCGACACTTCCACTGGCTGTATAGACGGACCACTGGCCTTGGTCCTCTCCAGTAGCTTGGAAGTTGATCTTCTCAACGTCCAGTCTGGGAACAATCACTCCCTGCCTACGGACCTCATGAACCAAATCCATAGTTAGGCCATCAGCGGTGGCGGGTACACGGTCCTTGCGAACAAGAGCTTTGACCGTGACCGGCAGCTTGCCATCCGCCACATTTCCGATGCAAGATTTAGACTGCTGATACAGGAGGACATCACTCATAGGATATCCGTTACCAGCATTGTCGTACGTGATAGTCTCGTTGGTTGACGGCTTCGTAACGTGGATGTAGAACTTGCTGATGCCCGTGTCAGGGCTGATTGTGGTGTCAAACTCCCACCAGTGGAAGCTCTCCCTCCACAAGCCAGAGGCACTTCCACCCTGAAAGGTTGCCTTGCGGGTAGTGATAACGTTCGATCCGTTGCCGTTGCGGTCAGCGTACGTCAGCTGGACCGAGAGATCATTGGGGTCTCGGCCAGTGACTGCGGTGGTGCGGATGCGAATGCGGCCGCCAAACGACAGGCTGCCATCGTCTTTGAGGAAGAGCCCGCTGATGTAGGGCTTAATATCTGTGGCTACGATGGGGTCGCTGAGTTTAACGTTGGCAGGGACGGTATCAATCATGCGACTAAAGATGTCGGCGCAGGTAGTCTGGAAAGCATTAGGGTCGGCCATGGCTTGCATCGTCTTGTTTCCATCTGCAGCAAAGATACGCTTGTCTGAGTTGAGGGTGTCGTTTGTGCCAACAACCAGAGGGTTCTTGGTTGTGCCATCCAAATATTCGGTCACGACGACGTTATCGAACTTGGCAAATTCGGTGTCAAAGTGGGCTACGGTATCGTTGTTGGGGTCCGCCGCGACACCGACGATCTCAGGGAAGTCCATGCTGTGCACGCCTCCCAGAGTATGACCGCACGCCACCATGGCAATCATGTCGCTCTGAGAGAAGCCTGCCTTGGTGAAAGCCAGCTGGGTAGTGTTGAGATCGGTCTGAGGCTCAGGGACACCGGCAGGGCCGGCTTCTTGGGCGTCAATACGGCCGGCACGAAACGGGATTTGGATACCGCCGCACGCAAAGCTGGCGACGAGGACACTCATGGCCAACAGATCAGAAGCAGAGGCGCGAATGGAGTGAAAGCTGCTAAAGAATCCAAACGTGTTGTTGAAGGCGCCTCCAATATTTTCCGGGCGATCCAACTCGAAGAAGATGGACGCGTCTAAACCACCGGTACCGGCGGCAGCATCGTGCGTGGCCATGTCGTGGAAAGCGGCGCGGATCCATTCAGCAGAGTTCTGACGGCCGGGGATGCTTGTGCCGAAGCCACACGTAATGACACCTAATGAGTTGTCAGTAGTTAGTTGAGGGTCGGTGGTAGAGAGACAACTGACCATCGATGAAGCCCCTGCGAAGGTATCCGGACTGCAGAGAGAGGTGATCCTCGAGCTCATCGTACTGAGAAGGCCAAACATACTCTGTCGCGGCGATGGACGCTAGAGCGAGCGTGGAAAGAATGCTCTGCTTCATGACGAGTGCAGGCCGATAGCGAACGACTGGGACGAAAGGCAGTTGCGCGACCAAACATCCAGTTCATCTGACATCGTGCCAGCCCTCATTCGCTTTATGGGTTTCCAGAAAAGCTCTTCCATTTCGGCAATGTGACGTTGGACGGGGCGACCCTTGGACCCTGCAGTGATGGGACGGAGACATTTGGGCGCTTGGAGGGACAAGATCTCGTATTCCTCTTTCCCACCAAGTTATTCTGGTTCTTTCCAATGCCGATAGTGAGGTCCCATCATCCCATCAGTTCCAACCGTTGTGGACCATGCCCAGATATGCTTGAAGTTAAGTGCTGGACTAGTTCATTTCCCGAGACTAGGCCTCCCTAGCTTATCCCCAATGCATCGTGGGGAATAGTCTCCTGCCCAATAAGGCAGCTGTAATTACCTAGCACACAGCCTGAAATACGAGCGACGTGGGCGACGATCAGCGCACCGTCGCAGCGTGCTGTTGCTTGTTCGTGTAAAGACGCTGCAGGGGCGGACGCCCTACCAGATCCGGATCACCCGACATGGAACTCGGCCGGTATCATAGCAAGAGGAATCCGAGGTATCATCCGACAAGGCCATCTGAGGAAGCAGTTCTTTCGAGACATGTACCTAGCTGTGCAAAAGCCGAAGGCTGGCAAAATAGGGTAGACAAAGCTGTTGTGGCTGAACATTTAAACAGTTAGGGGATGTCTTCTGGTGCGGAAGTTACCCACTTTGTCCACACAATTTCGGGGCTGTTAATAAGGTTGGCAGAGAACCTAACTTAACTGCTGAACGTCTCCTCAGTGAACAAAGTCACCTTGGCTCAGGGGTGAAATGTGCTGTGAGACTGTGTAACTTGGCGCTGACCAAGTCGCGTCCAGTGTGAGGGTAACGGAAAAACAGCTGCCCGAAACCTTTCCTCCCGGCTCTGGACTTCTTCCGTTCCAGTGCGTGTCGGGATTATGCCGTCATCGAAGTCAATTAAGGAGCTAACGCTTCGGCGCTTTCGGAGCTTCCATTGAGAGTCCGACATATCTCCCGGTACATTTATCACCTCTCCTTATATTTCAGCTTAAATACTACGTGTGTAAACATAACGAGTCAACATGGGCGACGCTTCAATCCTTCACATGCCGACGACCCTTATATTTGGGGGCAATGGCAAAACCGCCCGTCAACTGACAGCAATCCTTCGGGACGCCGATACCCCTCACACCATCTTCAGCGTTATCCGCAATCCGGAACAAATTCCGGACTTGGAAGCAATCGGCGCAAAGCCAATTGTCCAAGACATCTCTACAGCTTCCGAGGTCGACTTCATTAAAATCATTGAAGGCACCCGGCCCGACGTTGTGGTGTGGGCAGCTGGCGGCAAGGACCCCAAGTCCGCTGAGGCTGTTGACCGGGATGGAGCCATTCGCGCCATGGATGCCCTGGCCAAAGCCAACGTGGTCGCCAAACGCTACATCGTCGTCAGCGCCCTCGACGTCCGCGACCGAGACAGCAAGCCCGTCCCGGACTGGTATACTGATGCCGATGAGAAGCTCAGCGACCGCATGTGGGGTATCATCGGTCCCATTCTCCGGGCTAAGCTAGCGGCCGACACGGAGTTGAGGGTGGGGAATGCGGCTCGCAAGCTTAACTACACCATTGTGAGACCTGGTGGCTTGACTGAGGGACCTAGCACCGGAAAGGCACGGGCAGGAAAGGTTGGCACCGTCGGCATGATTCCCAGAGAAGATGTCGCCAAGGTCGTCTACGCGGCGATTCAGAATGAGAAGACCTACGGGCTGGCATTTGATGTGTTGGGGCCCAAAGAGGACAGCCCAACGATCAAAGAAGCTGTCTCACAGGTGGCAAAACATCATGAAGATACGTTTGAGGGTTATTATTAGGCAAAAAATCAACTGATGTATTCATGCATGTCTTTTAAAAAAGAAGATCAGATCTAGCACCACCTCAGTCTCGTAAGCTGGAAGCCAGAGCTCAACCAGTGGTTGCTTCTTCAGTCGACTTGGCTGTCAATGGCTTTCGACCGTGGATCGCCCATCTATTGAATGTTAGCATTGAGATGGGGAGCATCGAAAATAGAGCAGTCTCCTTACATGGTGAAGTAGGCGTGGATGCTTCTGTCGCCTAGATCCTTACGAGCTTCCATAGCAAGTAGCATTACTTCCTCCTTCGTCCAATTGTGGGCTCGAGTTAGAGGCGCCATAATGAACCCTTCCCAATTGACAGCAAGATTCTCATAGGTCCACGCTCCGATTTCTTTGTAGTTCCGGTCTTTCGGCCATGTATTCGTGGGCCACTTATATCTCTCCAAGTGGACATCTTCAAAGCCAACATCAGCCATAATACCAGCCAGTGACTTGATGTCTTCGAAAGGGCGCTCAAAGATGACAGCAGCTTCCTGCCAAAGCCGTAGACTCTTCATGAGAGCTGAGTCCGCTTTTAACGTGCCGTCATCGGAGTCAGGCTCGACGTCAATTTCGTGGATTTCGAGATATCCACCCGGGTTGAGATGACTGTTACAGAATGCATGTCAGGAATGATGATCTCGCAGTCAATCAAGTTCGCGGCTGGTAGTACTCAAAGCTTTGTTGAAAATAGGCCTTCCAATCCTTGACGCAGGACGTGATCATGCGGCTGTGGATGTAGTCGAAAGGACGTGAGTATGTCCAAGGCTCCTCAAGGTCGTCGATTTCAAACCTCACATTCGGAGGTACACTGTCATGGACGTCAGCCATCGACCGTAAGACGGGAAGAAACTCACTTACAATTCTGGCTGAGCGGGAGATAAGTCGATACCGAGAACCTGTCACTTCAACGTCAGAATTGGATCTCAAAATTCATAAGTGCGACTGCTCAGCGACTAACCTCGGCCTCTGGATGTTCGTCTCCGAAATCAATCGCCCAAATTCCTGTGCCTGTGCCTACATCCAAAACCCGTCCGACTTTGGACCCAGGCTCATTGGGAGGTGCAGTGCCAAGTCGGTTGCCAAATGTCCGAATGAACAAGTTGTGTTGCAAGTCTAGATTTCGGACCTGAGGTCAGCGTGCACTTCCTATTAACGCACAGAGCGGCCGAGGATACCGCGGAGAAAAGAACCTGGCTGTACATACCAAGTCGATCATTCTCTCTCTCATCATTAGGAACGTAGTATTCTAAAGTATCTAAGTCAGTCTCGTGATGTTTCACGTTCTAGGGGAAACTCACTGCCGTCCTTGTACTTGTGGTAGGTTCTACCGTTCTCTAAGCGGTAGTCGAGAATCGAACTAGACAGACTTGTGCTAGATGAAGCCACACTTTGCTGAAAGGAGGATCATCAATGAGTGAATGGGCCTAGACCATGAAGAGTTTCGGACAGAATACGCACGCTAGTAGCCGAAGAGTCATCATCCGTGACCTTAGAGAAGCCAAATATCAGCATGAACTCTACGCGCGTATTGACTACAGTGCATCACCTCCTCGGCAGCGATAATATCGCGATCCTCTACGGCAATATTGCCTTGACCCCCGTCTACAGCACGAGGCGGGCTGCTGGCCGCGTTGTCTGTCGCGCACATTGCTGAGAGCAAGCCAAATGAACACCTTGTTGGAGCGACGATAGAGATGAGTTCGCCAAGTTTCACCTAGATTTAGAGGCGACTTTCGACCGATACTTTTGCCAGATACCGGAATAAAGAGGAACATGAAATTCCGGCAGACCCCCATCCTCTTTATCTGTAGAACTGATTGACCAGGATGTGGTGTTACCCCTCTCCTTGGCTGGAGACAATCATGCATGTTTGCGGCGAACGTCCCAACCAACACAAGGTCGATGGAGGAAACTCCCAAAAGGACGAAATGACGCGTATCACATCCGAGCAATCATTGGGCAGTGGGTCTATCATTTGTATCTTCCTGGTCCTGTTTTGGTCTGCATGACCAACATTCTCCCCAAAGTGCTCGTATATAGATCTAGAGGAATAATGGTTGACTCCACATGAAAAGGATTGCAGTAGAGCTTCCGATATCAAAGCTTTTCGTCGTAGCGGATGCTGGAGACTAGTGTGGTTATTATGACCTGTGATATGTCGATTATCGATGTCGAGTACCCGAGCAAATAACTATCAAGAATTGGGATCCAGAGGCAAGATCAAAAGTCATTATTCCTCTCCTCTAGCTAGAAGATCGTGGAAATTCAGTGCAAGCCCTGAGAATTATGGACTTTAATCACTGCTACCCTGTGTTAGATCCTGTCTTCCCTTTCTCCTCCATGGCCACATAATTGTATACTCCCTCAAAATTCAAAGTCAGCTCATTTCTCAATAGAGCTTTGCTGAATCAATTGGCTATAATTTCCTCCGCAGCAGGTTTTCTGCCGTACACAGACCAGCTGATTCGAGAATTAGTCAAATCACTCAGCAGCAGTAGAGTCACTCACATCGTCTGATACGAGTGAACACGTGGGTCCTTCATCTCGTTGCGAACTTCCGTTGCAAAGAGAGTGACCTCGTTTTTAGTCCACTTGTGGGCTCTCGTTAAAGCACCTAGCATGAAACCTTCAAGCCCAGCAACGGAGTTATCGAGGTTCCAATACCCAAGCTCTTTGTGTTTCCTGTCCCGAGGCCACGGGTTGGAAGGCCACTTGAATACCTTCGCGTTAATGTCTACAAACCCGGCGTCGGCCATGAGGTCTTTCAGAGTCGTGTTGTCCTGGAACGCATGCCCAACAATGACAGCCGCTTCGCCCCACAGCTTCGAGAACCTATTTAGGGCGGCATCGTCGGCAAGTGTACCATCATCTGACTTGTAGTATAGGTCGACCTCATTGAGCTCAAGATATCCGTTAGGGTTCAGGTTGCTTCGGTGGTGGCATGATCAGCGTAAATTCAGTTGGTCGAGCTATGCTTGCAACTTACTCAAAACATTTCTGGATATACTCCTGCCAATTACCAATGCTTGATGTCATTAAGCGACTGTGAATGTAATCGAAAGGTTGCGAGAAAGTCCACGGCTCCTCGATATTGTCAATCTCGAATGTCGCATTGGGAGGAACGCTATAGAATTGTCAACAACGCTGGTTTTAGGATAGAACCGGGTGGAGCTTATAATGCTGATTGAATAGGTATGTCGGATTAGAAGTCTAATTCGACCGCGGCATACGGCCAACTGCGCAGGGGCCAATTAGGGGGCCCTATTTATAATTATTATAGCTAGCCTAACTTATAATTAGAACCTCCTTTTTATATTATATAGAAATTTATATAATTTAATTAATCTCTTTATTAATTTATAGTTCGAACTAATTACTTTATAATAAGGATATTAATACTAATTAGTAATTAAATTCTATTATTATAAATTAGTAAAGTATTTTGTTATATAAAAGAGACGACTTCTTAATACCGTATAGAATAAGAAATTCGTACTAATAAACTTTATAAAAATAAATAAAAAAGGAGGTAATTCTTAAATATTATACGAAATTAAATAATTATAGCCCTTTATTATTAATAAAAAGTTAATATTTATTATATTAAACTATATTAATTAATAAAACTACTTAAATAATTAGTTTTTTTATTATTATTTTAAGTAGCTTTTTTACTAAATAACTTTTTTTATAACTAGCTTATAATTAAAGATTAACTAGTTAAATTAATAAAAAGAAATACTTACGTAATAACTACTTATTTAATTAATTAATACGACGAACGAGCTTAATAATATAATATAAAAAAGTATTACGTAATTAAAGAAAAAGATTTCTAAACGTAAATATTCTTATTTAATAGTAAAAGTAACTTTATAAGAGTTATAAAACTAAGAGATTTATAGTATATAAAAAGGTCTATTATTACGAGAATCTTATAAATACGACTTTAAACTTATAATTTAAATAACCTCTTTATAACTCCCTTAATTACCCCCTAGGTATTATTTAGGAATATAATATAAGGAACGGTTTAATAAAAGAAAAGGGGATTTAGAAATCCTAATAATATTAAATTAAAAATATTATAAATCTTAAAAATTAATTTAAAAAAAAAGCGGCTACTCTAAAATAGTCTTACGACCTCCTATTATAATTATTATTAACTTAAAAAAAGGCTAAAAAAACGAGGATTTAAAAAAGAAAAAAAAGAATCCTCTAGAGTATTACTAAAAGGCTTTTTTTTATATTAGCTCCCGGTACGAAATTACTAATTTTAAAAAATTAACTAAATAATAAAAAAGATTATTAATAAGTAGAAATTACTTAATAATAATTAAACTATAAAAAAGATTATTTAAAAAATATAAAATAAAGTACTAAGAAGCTATAAAAAAAGAATCTCTAAAATAATTAACCTTATTTAATATAAATAGCGAGTAAATATTTTTAATAAGTTTTTAAAATTCGTAATTTTATAAAAAAAAGGGCTTAATTTTGCTAATTATACCTAACTATTTATTTAGTTCTTAATTACTTATCTAGCTCCTCTATAAGCTACTTAATCCCCCCGACGGAGTAATCCGCCGGAGCCGTACTATATATTACGTATTAAGGAAAACTGGGTATATTGCGCTCTATACCTAATTACTAATTAAAATAGTAGTTAACTAACTCGACTATTATCTTCTTTTTATTAACTCCTAACCTTTCCCCGCCCGTTTAGAGAGCGAGCTATACCTACTCTAACGTACATAAGACCTCTTAATACTAGCCCGCGTAGGCGGCTAGATCCTATATTATATACTCCTTTTTATTAAAAATTAGGGGGCCCTTTATATATTCCTTTACGTTTATAATATAGCCCGTATTAAAGGGATTTCTAGCTCTATAGAGCATAATTTCTAAACTAGCGTTAATATACTAAATCTTAACGTCCGTACTAGCCCGGCTATTTATAGCGTTCGTACTATTGCCTAGCCAGATTCCGTATTATTAAAAAGTATTTTACTACTTTTTAAACATACTTACGTTAGCTACGATAACTATAACGTCGAGCTAGCTAAAGAGGGTACCTAGCCCGAAAGGAGTAAACTTATTAACAGGTATCTTTAGCCTACTAATTACTAACTATATACTAAGAGTAAAGTAAGTTCTCGTTAAGGTAGTAGTTTATATATTAATAGGTTTATTTAGTAGATTTATTTAATAGATTTATTTAGTTTAAATAGAGCTTTAGGCGATATTAAAAGCGATGAAGATAGAAAGAATCTTTACGAGCTCTAAGTAATAAATATTAGCCTATTTAGCCTTTTTTTTAGAAACCTTTACGTTATTATTAAAGTTTAGAACCTCTATAGTTAAGGGCCGCCTCTAACTATTGCGGCCGACTATTATAGCTAATTATTATAGCTAACCTCTACTATCGACTTTTCTAACCGGCGCCGCTACTAAAGAGGGTAGCTTACCTATTCCGAATTATATAGCGGTTTTCGTATCGAAATTACTATATTACGTTAAGCGCGTACTTAGGGTATATTATGCATATTATATAGTTAAAAAGTATACCGTATTATATAATTTCTTTTAAAAGCGTAATCCTATTAAAGTCGATTTTTTATACTTATAAAGCTAGAAAAAAAAACTATTATATAAGCTACTTAATATCTATTTTTAATTATCTTTTTAAAATACTATTTTAAAAAAAGTAAGTTAAAAAAAGAAGTAATTTAGAAATTACGAAGAATACGAGGCTTAAGAAGTTAAAAATATATAGAATAATAGAAATTAATAATTAATAAAAATCCTAAGACTAATTACTTCGTCTTTTTATAATAATATAAACGTCTATTACTACTATTAAAAAAGGAACTACTAAAACTTACCTTTTTATACTAAATAAAAAAGAGGATCCTAATAAGTATAATAATTAATAATTTAAAAAGGTAGTAGTAATTATTAAAAATAATAAAAACAAAAGTAGTAACGAAATAGTAAAAAGAAATAAAAATTACTTAAACCTTAATAAATTCGTTAAGTAATAAAAATACGGATTTATTACGATTAGTGCGCAAATTAAATATATCCTTATTAAAATTAAATATACTAACGATTATTAATATAAGTATAAACTAGAGCACGATCCTTAATAAGTTAAGGTAAAAAAAAAACAAAAAAAACCCGATTTTAAATAGAATCCTAATCTTTTATAAATAAGTAAATATTAACCTAGATTATTAAGGGATATAAATATATAGGATTACGGATTAGCTTAATAATAAATAAATTAACGTAGTATTAATCTATTTAACTAAGGTTTATAAAAAAAAGGGGCTATAGGGGTAACCCCTATTTTATAAAATCGTAAATAACCTTAATTACTAACTAAATAAATAGTTTATAAATATAAGCCTAGGAATTATAAAAATAATTAATAAATTCTTTTATAAGCGAGGAGTATTATTAACGTAATTATAGTTATAAAAACTATACGAAATCCTAATAATAATAATTATAAAAAAGGAATTCGTATTATAGAACTAAGTATAAGTTAATAAAGCGTATAATCGCTTTAATAAATTTAAAAAAAGGGTAAATAACCTAGATTTCCTTTTTATAATTACTAATAATAATTTATTATTATAAAAGAATATATAAAAGTAAAATATAGTATTAGAAATATAATAATTAATAATTCTACCTATTTTAATTTATAGTTCGTTATTATTACTAATACGAAATTCGGCGCTAATTAGTTAATAAAAAAAGAGGTAAATAATACGAAGTTATTAATAATATATAATAATATAAGGATTGTATATAAATATTAAAAATATAATAATAAATACGAGGTAATTTATAAATCTTAAAAAGATCTTTTTAAAAGAGAAATTATATTCTAGAGAGAAGTACGAGGTTTTATAAAAAACCCTAATAATATTTTATAACTATTATAAAAAAGTCGGGATTAAGGAATATTAATATTATTTAGTAATTAATATTATATTTATAAGTAAAGCCTTTAATTATTATTATAAAGCGGTATATAATCTCGATTAGAACGACTTTCTTAGTATTATTAACGTAATCCGAAGCCGCTTTAAGATTTATAATAAAAATCTAGAGCTCTTATTTAAGCTATAAGTAATTTCTTTTATATTTATAGCTAAAATAATAAAAGGTAAATTATAAATAAAAATCCTTAAAAAGCTTATTAATTAAATTAATAAGCTAGTAAAAACCTAGCTAAATAAGGGAACTAACGAATAAAAAGTTAAATATTTTTATACCGTAATTTAGTACGTATTAAAAATAAAAATAACCCTATACTAAGCGCCCGAAAATTACGAAATACTTTACTTAAAACTAAAATTTAATTTTAATATTAAAGTAAAAATACTATACTAAACCTATTTCTAAGTATACGACGGCCCTTATTAATAATATTAAGTTAACTAGATATATAATAAAAAAAGAAAAAAGACTAAGTATAGTAATTATTAATAAGGAGGCCTAAATTTATTAAATAAGTAGAGATTTAACTCGCGAGTAAGGTAATAGAAAAAGTAATATTTTATTTATAAAAGAAATAGATATTAATTAAGTAATTATTTTAAAAAAAAAGCGTATTAAATTATATAAATAATATAAAAAGTTAAGAATAGTAAATAGTAAAACTAGCCCTTATTAGTTTAGCTAATCTTTTATTATATATAAAAGTAAATCCGGGGGCACAGAACTTAGTAATAATAGCTAAAATAGCGGCTTAGAATATCCGCTTTTTATAAAAAATTTAAAAAATAAAAAAGATCTCGCCCCCTATATTAATAAATTAAATTATAATAAAATTAATAATATTAACTACTCTTTTTTTACCCCGTTAGCCTTTAGAAAATATACGAGGCTAAATAAATAAAAAGTAATAAAAGCCCTTAATAAGTAGGTTTTTATTTACGAATAATAAGAAAAGATCCCTTAAATAGTAAATATAAAAGTAAATAAAAAGATAAATTTAATAATATAAAATTCTATTTTCTTAATACTTAAGGAGAAAATATTACCTCTATTAATAATAAAAAAAATAGTACTAAGTAATTTTAAGGGTAACTAGAGGGGTCCTTTTTATACTACCTAAA